AGGAGCCGAGGAGAAGCGGGTCTTGAGTTTGCAGAAGGCCGACTCAGCATCCTGGCTCCAGCGAAAGCCAGCGGAGGTGCCCTTGGTGAGTGCTGATAACGGGGCTTCAACGGAGCTGAAGTTCCTGATAAACTTGCGATAAAAATTGGCGAACCCGAGGAAGCGTTGGACCTCTTTTACTGATGAGGGGGTAGGCCAATCCATGACTGCACTCACCTTTTTAGGGTCCATTTGGATTAGACCAGGCTTGATGACGAATCCCAAGAACTGGACCTGGGTTACGTGGAAATCGCATTTCTCCGGCTTGACGTACAGGTGGTTGTCCAGAAGGCGTCTGAGGACTTTGCTGACATGGGTAACATGCTCCTGCAGAGAGCTCGAGAAAATGAGGATGTCACCCAGATACACGAAGACGAATTTGTTGAGCATGTCCCTAAGTACGTCGTTGACCAGGGTTTGGAAGACAGCAGGAGAATTAGTGAGGCCAAAAGGCATAACCAGGTATTCATAGTGCCCCGTAGGCGTGTTGAAGGCCGTCTTCCATTCGTCACCCGGTCGGATACGCACCAGGTGGTAAGCATTACGCAAGTCCAGTTTGGTAAAAATCGAGGCCTCTTGAAGGACCTCAAAAGTGGTGGCCATGAGAGGTAGGGGATAGCGGTTGCGCACAGTGATCTTGTTGAGCCCCCTGTAATCGATACACGTCCGAAGGCCCCCGTCCTTCTTCCCGACGAAAAAGAACCCCGCCCCAGCCGGGGAAGTGGAAGGACGGATAATCCCGGCTGCGAGGGACTCTTCAATGTACTCGTTCATGGCGGCCCTTTCAGGAGGGGACAATGAGAAGATGCGACCTCTAGGGGGACTGGAGTCAGGGACGAGGTCTATAGTGCAGTCGTAGGGGCGATGAGGAGGCAATGAGGTGGCTTTCCTCTTACTAAAAACTGTCTTGAGGTGGTGGTACTGCGGGGGAATACGAGACAGATCTATGGTCTCCAGGGACTCGGGAGCAGGGTCAGGGTCTCTCTGGCCCAAGCACGTAGTCTGGCACGACGCACCCCAACTGAGAATTGCCCCCGTGGACCAGTCGACGTGTGGGTTGTGCTGGAGGAGCCAGGGGTACCCAAGGATGATGGGAATCTCGGGAGACTCGATGAGGTAAAAACAGATCTCCTCCTGGTGCTGGTGGACGGCCAGCTGAAGAGAAGAGGTAAGATGGGTTATTTCGCCAGGGGCTGGCGGCCTACCATCCAACGCTGTGGCAGTCATGGGAGCAGGAAGAGAGTTCCTGGGGATCTGGAGTCTCTGGGCTAGGGAAATGTCCATAAAGTTCCCAGCAGCGCCGGAGTCAATTAAGGCCTGGAGTGGGTGTTGCTGGTGACTCCAGGCGAGAGTGATGGGAAGGACCAGCCCGGAGTCAGAGGGAGCGGCAGTGCGAGTTACTCCCGTGACAGTCCTGCCTCGCCTGTACGGGACTGGGCGTTTCCCGAGAGCTCGGGGCAAGAGGTACGGAAATGGCCAGACCGACCACAGTATAAGCAGCAATGTTCCCGCATGCAACGATTTCGCTCCACAGGGGAGAGGCGGGCCCTGCCCAACTGCATCGGTTCCGAGGGGTCTTGGGGATCAGAGTGCCCCTGAACCGCAATAGGGCTGGCCGGCTGGGTGGGAGCGTGGGAACGGCTCTGGTCTCTCTCTCTCTGGCGATTATCCAACCGGACAGCCTGGTCAATGAGGACCTCAAGGTCCCGGGCAGGCTCTCTAGTAGCCAGGTCGTCCTTGATTGCCTCAGACAGCCCGTTCAAGAAGCAAACCATGAGGGCTTCGTCGTTCCAGCCACTGCCAGCGGCTATGGTCCGAAACTTGATGGCATATTCAGCAGCACTGTCATTGCCTTGCCGGAGGGTGAAGAGCCTGGTAGAGGCTTGCCAGCTGCTCAGAGGGTGGTCAAACACTCGCTTGAATTCCTCTACAAACCCAGAGTAGCTTGAGCCTTCCAGACAGCCGTTGCCCACGAGAGAGCCTTTCCAGAGAGAAGGGTAATCACATAGGCGATCTTGGCCTGATCAGACAGGAAGGAGGAGGGCTGCAGCTCGAACAGAAGGGAACACTGGGTCAGAAACCCATCACAAGCACTAGGGTCACCCGAGAAGCGCTGCGGGGGAGGTAACCGAGGTTCAGCCACTGGAATGGGGGCTGCCAAGAGATCCATTAGCAGCTGAGATTGTTGGGCCATCAGGGTTATAGGAATAACATTCATGAAATGTATAAGTCAGGATTTAGGCCTCATCATAGCACAGAGACAGCACTGGTTAAAGTGGTAAATGACTTACTACTGGCCTCTGATCAGGGTTGTGTCTCCTTGCTTGTGCTGCTTGACCTTAGTGCAGCTTTTGATACCATTGATCATGCTATTCTCCTCGATAGATTAGAAAATGTAGTAGGCATTAAGGGAACAGCCCTTTCCTGGCTGAGGTCTTATTTGACTGCTCGTTATCAGTTTGTAGACGTAAATGGTGACTTCTGTATGCATACTAAGGTAAAGTTTGGTGTCCTGCAAGGCTCTGTTTTAGGCCCACTGCTCTTTTCTTTATATATGCTACCTCTGGGCAAAATTATCCGTAAACATGGTATTTGCTTCCGCTGTTATGCTGATGACACACAGTTGTATGTTTCAGCAAAGCCAGATGACAGACACCAGCTTAATAAAGTTGAGGAATGTGTAAAAGACATTAGAAACTGGATGCTTATTAACTTTCTCTTACTTAATTCTGACAAGACAGAAGTACTTGTACTAGGACCACATGCAGCTAGAAATAAGCTTTCTGATTACATAATAACTGTGGATGGCCTTTCTGTTTCATCATGTATAGCAGTAAAAAACGTTGGTGTGATTATCAACCCTAGTCTTTCATTTGAAGCTCATGTAGATAATATCACTAGGATTGCTTTCTTTCATCTCAGAAA